CGTGGCGAGCGTCCAGAGTTGCCCTGGTTGTTTCTACCCCCACTGTGATTGCTGTCCATTTTGCTCACAGAGCGTGAACTTCCGTACATATTGGCAGGCTTTGAGTGCAAGCAAGCAAACCCACCGAAAATTTTATGTGAAGGAATGTGCTAATAAACAGGCCGGGTCATTTTCATCTCAAGTATAAGGAATGTGATCTGCCAAGCAAAGACTGGTCTTCTGTAATTTTCTGTCAAATGGAGCAACTATGGTGGCCTGTAAAATGAAATAAAGAGGCAAAACACACAAAATAATATTATAATCACATAAGAAATGGCAGGATAGTCTCTACCACAAGACATACATCATTTTGGGGCAAAAATACACCAGCCATTTAAAATGTGGGGGTTCTCTTCAATTAATTTCAGTTTATTATATCTAATATTTGATACATTTCCATGTATTTTATTCTGGGCCTATCCAGGGTTGGGTTCAGTGACGATACAAAACCTGACCTGTAGCTGTCAGATATCTGTATTCTCTGTCTCAGATTTGAGTTTTGAAGTGTTTTTGACTAAAAACACAACAATCAGGTCTGCAAATGTGAAGACTAGAAAACTAGAAATGTGTCCAAATGTACCAAGATAGTAGACTGTAGAGAACGGTATAGTCGAATATAGTGTTAGTGTTTATTGTTTTATGATATATTGTGCATAATTTGCAGCTATATTTGTATGTAATGCTAATTTGATTTAGTAGGTATACTTACAGATATCATTATTACAGCTAGAATTCTTCATATTGAGACTTGCCATGTTTAAAAATGCCCTTTAAAAAACTCCAAATCAATTCCAGACAGCAAATAAAGTAAATATTTGACACTGCTTTCAACAAACAGCAGAGATTTAAAAAAAAGCTCGCCTATGTGTTCAGTCAGTGATGTTAAGCTTTTTTCCTCCACACTACTTCTACTATAACATTACTATTGTTCATAATATTAGTATACATTACTCAATAGAAATCTGGCGTGATATACTCTCATACACAAAATAATTCACAAGCTAGATAATGTAATAATGTTTCTCCCGTTTACACACCAAATCGAAGGAAAGGTGGGATTTTATTGTAGACTCACACTCCAAGGTTATCAAACATTTAATGTCAACGGCCAAGCCAACGTTATTATGGGACACTAAGCTGATGATTTATATTCTAAAACAAGATATTCAGTGTCCATCGCTGTCGATTCAATAATGCTGCTGTATTTAGGTGAAGGCTGTTCACAGCGCTGACAAACCAACCAGAAGCGTCGGTATTTGCCACACACCACGTCAGTAAGACTTGCAAATGCGCAAAATCATAGACTACAATTATTATATCAGAACAATTTAGATTACGGATATACTAAACCTAATGTTCCGTCAAATTCAGCCCTGCAATCGCTCAGCCACAATCCTGAGCATCCTCCCTCAATGTCCTTCTTCTCCACCATTGCATGGCTTAACACATTTGCCTCCTCTTTTGTTAGTAATAGCTGTCCAGCAAATGCGACAATAAATGAGAGGCGCTATTTGAATATCAAGATATGTAGATATTAAATAATGGTAACATATAAGAGCATTCACTAATTTATTATAAACCACAATAGGTTTTTTTCCCAAAGATCGTTTTACCTTGTATGGCTGGTCTGTTTCAACGACCGTCTGTCCAATTGATGTCTGATGGAGAGGAAGCGGCCTATTTTTTCTTTGTATTGTTTTATGGTTTTATTAATTGCAGACACACACCAGCATCTTCCCAGAGCTGGAGGACTTCAGTGACGTAACGCCTACGCTGCGCGCTCACAACAGTCGCCTCTGAAATGCCAACGCCATGCTACGAAGGTCATTTTATTAAAAAATTAAAATAAAATAAAAAACTACCGGTACTAATATTTTATCTCACTAAAATGACGTTAAAATCGAGATATTATTTGTGTAATGTACATTTCAGAACTTATATTGTAGATATTACGCCTATATATAGGTTATTATATATATATATTAGCCTATACTTATATTTTATAACATATTTTTTCGATTTCTTGTATGTAATTCGTCCAAAGTGGACAAAATATGTATAGTTTATATATATATATATATACGTTATATAGTAATATATATATATATATATGTGTGTGTGTGTGTGTGTGTGTGTGTGTGTGTGTTTCTTGTATATGCCATGATATCTTTATTTGCATTTCTGAATAGTCATCCTGCCCCAAACCATGTACATTTCTAAGCTACCCTTTCCCAGTCAGTTTATAGATAGAGAACAGAGATAAACGCCAGCTGGTGGGGTTTGAGCCTTCTTAAAGGGACAGTTCACACAAAATAGACATTCCGTCATCATTTATGCACACTTTCATGTTTTGTATAAAACATGATTTTCTCTCTTCTGTGAAATTTGTGCTAGGTGTACTATTATAAGCTTCCATGTTTTATTCAACCATGATATGCAAATCTACTTGAATCAAATCACAACACACTTCCATGCCTAATATAGGCCTACTACATCTTGTTAACTTACAGTTCTATAGTCAGAAAATAAATTAATGCAATAGTTTATTGAACCTTTTAGAAAAAATATAGCTTAATAGGTCTATTTGTACATGTGTTTTATGTTTTATTTTATATTTGATTTATTTGATTTATGGCTCATCATGAGAATACTGAGGAAGAAAAAAACTTTAAAAACTTTTATGACAAAATTATGATAGCTTGTAATGTAAACCAAACAGATTTGTATAACAGACTACTTACATAAAATGCATAATATCAGTTGCATATAAATACCAATAATATGTCTTAGAATACTTAAATGCTTGGTTTTACGATCAAAGCGATGTCGTTTTTATTATGGGATCAAAACATATAATGCAATACAATACAATGATGACTGATACATTTATAATATTGGTTACTTACATTTAGATACACACCTACATACATAATATTGTATACATTTTCTTTTAAAAAATATGAATCATGTAAACCTAAGTTGCTTCAGTCCAGAAAGTGTTTATCTTGAAATATTAATAACATATCAAAGTTATTCTTACATTGCCTTTAAAAAAGTCTTAATATAATTAAGAATCTTAATATAATAAAATCTTAATATTAATCTTAATAAAACATAAAATAGTATAAAAAAAATTCAGATGTATACACACACACACTGTATGTATGTATATATACAGTGGTGTGAAAAAGTGTTGGCCCCCTTCCTGTTATTTAAATTTTTTGCATATTTGTCACACTTAAAAGATTCACATCATCAAACTAATATTAATATTACACAAAGATAATGCAAGTAAATACAAAATGCAGTTTTTAAATGATTATTTATTTTATTAAGGGAAAAAAGCTGTCCAAACCTGCCTGACCCTACGTGAAAAAGTAATTGCCCCCTAAATCTAATAACTGGTTGTGCCACGCTTTGCAGCAACAACTGCAATCAAGTGTTTGCGATAACTGGCAATGAGTCTTTCACATCGCTGTGAAGGAATTTTGGCCCACTCTTCTTTGCAGAATTGTTTTAATTCAGCCACATTGGAGGGTTTTCGAGCATGAATGGACTGTTTAAGCATCTCAATCGGATTTAAGTCCGGACTTTGATTTGGCCACTCCAAAACCTTAATTTAGTTTTTCTTGAGCCATTCAGAGGTGGACTTGCTGGTGTGTTTGGGATCATTGTCCTGCTACATAACCCAAGTGCGCTTGAGCCTGAGGTCACAAACTGATGGCCGGACATTCTCCTTCAGGATTTTCTGATAGAGTGCAGAATTCATGGTTCCGTCAATTATGGCGAGTCATCCAGGTCCTGAAGCTGCAAAGCAGCCCCAGATCATCACACTACCACCACCATGTTTGACTCTTGGTATGATGTTCTTTTTATGAAACACCAGATGTAACGGGACACACACCTTCCAAAAAGATCAACTTTTTATTTAAGCATGCTTCACTTTGTCAGACAGGTTCTATTTAAGTGATTTCTTGATTCAACAGGTCTGGCAGTAATCAGGCCTGGGTGTGGCTAGTGAAATTTAACTCAGCTTTCTAAAATAATGTGGTTAATTGCAGTTCTTTCATGATTTAACAGGAGGGGGCAATTCATTTTTCACGTAGGGCCACGTAGGTTTGGACAGCTTTTTTCCCTTAATAAATGAAATCATCATTTAAAAACTGCATTTTGTATTTATTTGCATTATCTTTGTGTAATATTTAAATTAGTTTGATGATCTGAAACATTAAAGTGTGACAAACATGCAAAAAAATAAGAAATCAGGAAGGGGGCCAACACTTTTTCACACCACTGTATATATATATATATATGATATGATATGTAAAACACAGGTTTTTCTTAGAAATGTACTTTCTTTCTGACACCATATGACTATTAATAATCTTTTGTTTCCAGATTAGTAAAATATGCATTATTTTTTTCCCTTGTTTTTAATCTTATTTGATAATGATGATATATTCATTGATATATGCACTAAGATATGCATTATTTTTTCTGTATCTTTGTTTTTAATTTTATTTGATTCTTTATTTGATTCTATTTTCTAGCAAGCTAGAAGTCTGTAAATAAAATGTATTTTATGAAAACATGTCACTTTACCCTTTTTATCAATTACATTAGTTAGGGTAAAGTGACATGTTTTCTGCTGTAAAATTCTAAATGACCTCTTAAGAGGTTATCATGACATGTATACACGGAGAGTAAAAACAGTCATTCACTTTCATTTTATGAAAAAGGATGCAATGAAAGTGAATGGGGACTGGGGCTTGCATTCTGCCTGACTTCTCCTTTTGTGTTCCACTGAAGAAATAAAATAATGCACGTTGAGTAGATGTTCACAGAATTGTCATTTTTGAGTGAACTTTTCCTTTAAAACACGGCAGGCTATAATACATGCGTTCGATGTTTCAGCAGGCGGCGCTATTTTCTAACTGTAAGACATTACTCGGATAAAGGCAAGCAGGGGGAGTGGACAGACCAGTCCGGGTTATTGTTGATCACGAAACCGGTTTGTTCATGTTGCATGTATTTGTGCGATGGCGAAAATGTAGGGAATCGATGGCATGCAGATTACGCAGCCTTGAACCCTGCGCGTGCAAATCGTCTACATCTGCTCGGGATTTTGCACTGTCAACAATAGAGCCACAAAGCGCTCGCGAGCGCGCTAGACCCAAAGCCAAGTCTCGTGTTCGGTATAAATGGATATAGTCTCTGGGCTTTTCAAATATTGTTTTGCATCCTGTTGATGTAAATGCTGTAACGTTAACTTGAACTGCATCGTCTGCACGCGCGACGTCATGCAGTAGATGAGCGTACAGGGAAGATGAATCGAGGTCAGCTGAAAGGGAATAACAAAGAGAACCTGCTCTGCAGTCTCGCGAGCAACCATTAGCGGAAGCGGCGCGTTGTTGTAGTGTTTGGCATTCGAGCTTCGCAGTGTAGCTCGAGACGGTTATAGCGGAGGCACAGAAACCGACATTTAGCCATTTTGTCGGACTTTCACTGGATAAAAAATACGTTAAGCGAGAGACTTTGATCATTTCACTTGCTTCGCGCCGGATAAACGTAATTTCAAATACTGAGCACGCGCGTTTGGGGAATTACCGGTTAAACCTGGAGTTGGCCGTTGGTTTTTCACCGAGAACTGAAGATGACGGCGACGACACAACATTATGGTAAGTTTTTGTCTTGAATGTGGTGACAAAATGGTCAAGGGTGAAACTAAACGATGTCGTGATTAATATTTATGAGAAGTTAACATTGTTTTTAGCTCCTTTATGGTTAACGCCAGATATAATAAGTGGAAAGAGATTCACTTAAAGGGATAGTTCATCTAAAAATTACAAATTTGTTTAACATTACTCGTTCATTTTCTCGCCATTATGTCGCTTCAACTTTGTATTACTTCAATTTTTTTTGTGGAATACAAAAGAAAGAAAGAAATTAGACAAATTTGCTGTTCATCCTTTTGTATGATTGTGAATGGGGACTGAGTCCTTAAAGCTTAAAAATTACGCAGGTCACCGTAAAAGTATCCTAAAACTACTCCACATAACTCCTGGACTATTTTCCAATTCTTCTAGAGTCTTATGATAAGCTGACTTTAACAAAATTAAATAAATAGAAGCTTGACGTCTCAAATCATTCTTACTCGCTGTATGAGGGGAAAGTCGTCAGTACGATCTTCAATACATTACTTTTTGTTTCTCAAAAGAAAACCAAGATATATAACTGTTTAAAATGTTTATTTTCTTTTTATTATTTGAAACCATCTGCGATTTTGTGTTCACACATGGCAAGGACAAATCTAATTGACTAATTCCTCAACATATGTTCACTGTCCTGAAGACAGATACTGTATGTTCACATTCTTGAATAAGTTACTTCCAATTATTTCTTAAAAGCATAGATATAGTGTACATAACTTTTGTTGTTGTTTAAATAGGATTAGATCTATATAAATTATGAAAAGTTATGTACAGTGGGGGAAAAAAGTATTTAGTCAGCCACCAATTGTGCAAGTTCTCCCACTTAAAAAGATGAGAGAGGCCTGTAATTTTCATCATAGGTATACCTCAACTATGAGAGACAAAATGAGAAGAAAATCCAGAAAATCACATTGTAGGATTTTTAAAGAATTTATTTGCAAATTATGGTGGAAAATAAGTATTTGGTCAATAACACAATTTCATCTCAATACTTTGTTATATACCCTTTGTTGGCAATGACAGAGGTCAAACGTTTTCTGTAAGTCTTCACAATGTGCTAGTTGGAAATAGTTTTGAATTTGACATAAGGGATAAATGTGAAAAATCAAAGACTTACTTCCTCCTACTCCGTCTTTATCTAAAAGTTTCAGTATGACTGGTCTATTTTTACAATAATATAAGTTGCATCCTGTCTTTTTAGTGAGAATAAACTCTTATAAACCCCTTTTGAACGGGTTAATATTTGCCTGGTTGTGGAAAAGCCATTGCCTTGTTTGCATGCAGCCATTTAAAGGGGTCATATTATGCTTTTTCACTTTTTGAATTTTAGTCAGTGTGTAGTATGTATGTTTGGGCATAAAAAAAGATCTACAAAGTTACTAATCTCGAAGTCCACTCCAAAGGGAGATATTTTGTTTGAAAAAAATCCCTTTTCAAGAACTGCAATGAACAGCTCGTTTGGACTACAGTAGGGATGTAACGGTATAAATATTTCTTATCACGATTATAGTGACCAAAATGATCACGGTTATCAGTATTATCACGGTATTGTTAACATGTGCTGGAAATGTTCAAAAAATACTGACACACATCATTTCACCAAGTTTTACATTTAAAATCAACAAACAACAAATAAAATGAGTTTTTGTTTGCATAACTAAAACAATAACATTGCCAATGATGTCCGGATTTTAAATGACAACATGACTGACAACAGTTTATCTAATAGCATGTTCAAATATCTAATGTAAATGTTCAAATAAAGCTTTGAAAAAGTTTCATAAATGGTAAACCTCAAATTTCAGCTTTTAAATAAAGAAAAGGGTCAAGTCAAAATGATAATTGATTAATAAATGATTACATGTATTTATCTGCTCCATAAATAATACTAGATACCTTATTGTTTAAATGTGTAGAATCCACATAAGCTTGTTTTTCATCAACCGGACAAACTTTACAGCAGGGCATGCAAATTCGGTCCGTTTTTTGATCTACACACCTTTCACTTTTTAAGACTAAAACAAAAGATGGCTTCATTGTTATTCTTAATTAAAAAGCATAACAACAATAAAACAGTAAGATACAATGACAAACTAGCTTATAAAACGTTTATTAACAAAAATGAATAAGATGAGGTATGGCATACACCACATGCTGTATTATATACCGACTAATAAATTACAGAACGTTTAGCAAACACTGAGGAATCAAATAAATAAAAAAGAGAGCCTCAGCAAAGATAACAAGCTTTTCAAAATGAAAACAAAATAAAACTAAACTTGCTGTCGGTGACAGTGCTTGCATGTTTTTGTCCCACAAGAATACCAACATGTTCACCTTTGGTTTAAGAAGTGGTCTTTTACTTTACTTTAGCATGAAACCCATCCATCGTTTCCTCAATATTCACCTCATTTTTAATGCACGCAGCTTCACGCTCCTGACTCGGCGAGTATAAATCAGGATCTACACTCGAAGAGCTGCGCAGCTCAAACGAGTCGTGCGGTTTCGTTATGCTTTCAGTTTCGTTTGCCGTTTGATGTTTCTCACATGCAACAGAAATGCAGGGCTTATGAGTTAAACAATGCAGTGGTCGCGCCAGTGTGACCGCACACAAAATTTAGTCGCACCGGCAGAAAAAATTATCGCAAAATGCACCCATTTGGTCGCACACTAGAGCACTGTGCAGTACAGTATTTATTTATCCTCAGTTGTTCAAATTGCGGTAATCGAATATGGTTATAGTGATAATTAAAAGATGAAACGGTAATACTAACCGTGGGGTATTTTATCACGATTTATCGTCAAACCGGTAATCGTTACATCCCTAGACTACAGTGTTGTTTTCTGGGGTTTGTGATGTCACAAAGCGGCCCATTAGAATATCATTACATTAATTCCCGCCTACTGAAATTCGAATGGTTGGGGGGTGGAGAGGGGCGAGGTTGTGGTTAGAGCGCTTGGTTGAGTGCATCAGACAAGACGACAACGAAGAAGAAGTGCTGCTGCAGAGTTAGTGCATCAGAGAAAACAAAGAAGATGAGCTGCTGTAGCGTCAAGTTTTCGTCATGTTGAAGAAATGCTGTTTTTTTTGTTGTTGTTTTTTCACCCCCGTGCCCAAACGTTTTTGTTTGGCCTTCCTAAAACGGTCGACGTCAGGAAACAGTGGTTGCAATTTATTTAGACATCGTATCTAAAACGTGATTTAGCCAAAAAAAACAATAACATTACCACTCGCTAATATGTCTTGCAATATCCGTGCGTGATCAATATTCTCGGGGTCTGAATCCGGCTCAAATTGATATGTCAATATTGACGCCATCCTTAACTATACCAGTGTAGCCGGAACTTGCTGCTTTGGCGAGGGGCGGGGCAGTACTGAAACACCGTCTAAGCTGTTCGCCAATCACAACGCACTGGGACAGCTAACCAATCACAGCACAATTCGTTTTTCCTTATCAAACCCGGAACTAATCAAGCCGTTTGTGCTAGGCTGGGGAGAAAGGTATTTTAATAATGTAAGTTATGTCAAAAATAATAAGTTTTTCGACCCACCAAGCATGAGAGCATGTTCTAGTACACCCCCAAAACAAAATCAAGACTTTGTAAAGGAGCATAATAGGACCCCTTTAAGGTGAGTGTAAATTTGTTAACGGTGGCTAACCGCCTTGGTTAAATTATATTTTGTTTCTCTTTCAGTGAATCAGATGCAAAGGTGAAACTTTGTGCTCTGGCACGACCTCGGAGTTGAAAGTGATTATCACATTTATCAGCAGGCTACTGCCCTGCCCCCTCAGGAGACCCCCTATGTGGATTGAATACACCCCACAGTTTCACACAGGATGGATGAGCTGGATGTGAAGTCTCCTTTTTGTCATCATCATCAACAACGTATTTTGATCTGTGCATGGATCCTGCTCTATTTTTATCACCAAGCACTTCCTGTGCTCTTCTCCAACACTTTAGTTTGCAAGAGTATTGACTTTATCTGAACTGCTGTTTTGAGAGGAGGGAGGTTTGGCAAGTTTTCACTTGGTTTGAAGCAACCTCTTCTCATTATCAAATATTTATACTGTTGTTGTTTTTTTTCATGCATGGATAGCATATAAGGTTTGACCCAACTTCTCGCTCCACTTGGTGGAGAAATGTCAGAAAATCTCAACGACAATATGGTCAAGTTCCTTTCCCCCCCATCAAAGAACATCAACTGCTCCAGCTCAGACACGCTGGTGGGCGAGCGTCTAGGGGTCGAGGTCCGCCGTCGCCACCACACCATGGAGCGAGAACTACTGAAGGCAGAGCACCGTTTCTTTCGGCGCAGCGTCATCAATGACTCCAATGCTACGGCGCTGGAGCTGCCCAGCAAGAACGCAATCCTAGCCATCTCAACTGACTCCCATGCTCTTGTTTGTGAACCTCCTGCCTTGGAATCCAAAATCCCTTCGGTGGCCACACAATCTGAAGGTTTGGTTGCACCAGAAAAGGAAGATGACGGTGTTGAGACAGCCATAGAGTCAATGCCAGTGTTGATTGCGAATACTACACATCTTCTTTCTGCAGAAGCACCACATTTCGTTGCAGAGTTGAAGTCTGGAGATAGTGCGGATGCAAAACTAGAGGATGAGAAAGAGGAGGATGATGAAGGTAAAGAGAAGGCACGAGCTAAGACCGATTTGCGGGATATGAAGGCAGAGCTAGAGGACAATGAGGAAGTTGAGACAAATGCAGTCGGGACGTCGCCAGATGGCCGGTTCTTAAAGTTCGACATTGAGATTGGACGTGGCTCTTTTAAGACAGTCTACAAGGGTCTGGATACTGAAACCACAGTGGAGGTGGCATGGTGCGAGTTGCAGGTACGTTTCCTGTATTTTGTATCTTTATTTAGTGCATTAGTGACTTTCAGGGAGTTTTTTCAGTCTTTGTTAAAGCATTAGAGGCCATGAGCCAGGCCAACCAGTTACACATTATAAACTTTTATATGAAGGAAAAAAGTGTTAGTCTTAAAAGACTATGTACTTGACGACTTCAATTTTGACAGCATAGCAAGACTTGATTGCACCATTTGTGGTGCTTCATTCTGTACAGCATCATGGGTAATTAGATTTTTCACAAGTAAAATGAAAAAGTTGAAATAATGTAAATGGATAAATTGTCGTTTAACAACCTCGGAACTGACAGTAGCTCTGTCTTTAAAGGTTTATGAGTTATAATTAAATTTACCTATGGAGAAAATAAATGGAGATTTTGCTTCCGAAACCTGAGTGTTGCAATTCATGGGTAGGATGTCACAGCTTTTGACAGCTAGAATAACAAAGTGCAACATTTGACGTTGTTGGCACTTTTGATCTGTCCGCTGACGGTGGTAAATCACTATCTGATCTGCTCATTTGGGACTAAAGTAAATACTATCTCATAGGGATGTAATGATTCACACTCAACTCACGATGCGATACGATTCACGATAATGATTTCACTATATGAATTTCTCTTTTCTTTTCTAGATTTTTTTTTTTTTTTTTTTTTTTTTAGCAAAATTAAATTTTAGACAAAATTAGTTTTTGGTGGGGTTTATGGAACAGCTGAAATGTAGTGTTTCCTTGGTTACCGCTGTAAACAAAGCAGCTGTGCTTAAACACTACCATAATATGCATAATACAGAGGCAAGATGAAAAGAAAATAGCATCTAATTTTTCTAAAGACAGTCAGTTCCCCTCAAAGATACGTTCCTATAAATTCCCACCCCCCAACTGTATCTGATTTGATTTGAATCGTCAAATATTTGCATCGATTTTCAAACGGCTCAGACTGCATCGTTACATCCCTACTATCTCATTCTCTGAAACCTGCAACCCTGTCTTGAGGCCTTTCCAGTACAGCACCTTTTAATGACAGTCTTATGACAAGACAGTTTGATTTTAACTTCAATGCCCCACCTACACCTTTCCAAGTAATGTCATCAGCGTGTATTGTTCATGTTTAATTTTGCTGTATAATCTCTTTAGAAAGAGGAAACACTTTTACTAGTCCTTTTGTCACACCTTTGGAGCATCTCACCTCTGAAGCATCTCAATACACACTCCTGACACTTATCCCATCTGGCTTTGTCCAGTGTTTTTATAGCTGTTGTCATCTTTGGCCATAGCCCCGGCATTGTAGTATCATCCTTGAGTTGAAAATCCTCGTTTCCTAATTAGGTTATTTTAGACCACCAGGTGTGTATTGGAAGATGTGTGGCATATGCAGTAAATCAAAGGTAGTGTTTATTCAAAGTGTACTTTGAGACAGTCTAATTGCCGCGCAAGCCTGTTTCCATGTCGGAGTAAAAAAACGATAATAACTTGCCATTCTAGATCTTACAGTGTGATGTTATTTCTTGGAATTAAAATTAATATCAATTCAAAAGTTTAGGGTTAGTAAGATTTTTAAATGTTTTCAAAATAAATCTCATGTGACTTATTTCTTATAAGCTGAAAATAAACATTATTTATTTTCTTTTAATGCTTTATTTTGATACAGAAACAGGCTTTTATAAATTGCGGTCTTCAGCCATTTACATTTTTTTCTCCAATTATTCTAAATTTATTTTATGAACTGTGAGAAACATGAGCTTTTGTACATTTTTGCACTCATTCTACTTTTATTTGTTTATGGTATGATAAAAGCATGAGTAATCTCATGAGGTGTGCTTGCAAAGAGAGCATGCTGACGCTGGCCAACTACATAGCAACAGCACCTCTTTCGGAAAATCACCAGCTCATAAGTTGTGTGGCCCACTTCTGAGAAGTCTGTTTGCATTCAGACACCTCCTTCATTTTGTTTTTGTCATGTAGAGGAAGTTTTTTTTTTTTATGTACTGGTGTGACACGTAGAGGTGCGATTTCAAAAGTGGGTCAAGTTCAACCACCAAAGCAATTGTACTCCCTTGTGTCAAGCATGGTGAGCTGGTTTGCCAAGGCTTGAATCTGCTGCTGCTGCCCTCCCCCCTCCTGCTGCCTCTTTTTTTGCAGAGCGATGACGAGGCAGCACCACGTGAGCTGCAGTTCTGCTCATGGCCCTCAGGCGTAGCCAGCTCATGCACTGAACTGAAACAAAAGCCTCTCTCTCACTCTCTAGCTTTCAGCCTCTCTTTAACTCACTTTTTTCACATTTCATGTCTCGCTGTCCCTATTTTTGTCTCCCGGTCTGTCTTGTGTGATACAACGGTATGTGTTATAAGCTGCAAGTTCACACTGCTGCAGAAAAGGGAAGGGCCTGTGTATCTCCCCCACAAGGCCATCTGTTTCTAGCGCTCAGGGATATTCCCCTCCTACATTTCTCTCCTTTACTTTCTCACATACTAAACACATTTGAACAATATATAGGTCACCACAAAAAGAAAATGAAAATGGATCTCAGATGCTTCTCTTTTTTACGGAAGATCCCTCCAAGTACGTGTCCAACTTGACAGGATACCACATTAAATACTCTGTTTAAACTGTTTAGCCAGATAATTGAGTCATTGTAGCGTACCACTGACTTTAAAGCAACTTCTTGAGTTTCAGTCCACTTGTCCTGCATTTACCTTTCACCCTCATTTTTGATCCCTTTAACGGACCCCTGTAAATCCATTTAATCTTCTGCAGTAACCTTAAACTATTTAAAATTATTTAAATATTTCTTTTCCCAGTTGACATGTTTTGTGCTAGGTATATTTATGTATTTTTATTATTATTATTAGTATTATTTTAAATGTTTTTAAGTTAAACAATTTTTTCCTGCTAAAAGTTTCACATTACTGTTACCACTTCCGGGCTTTGTGCTCCCATGAGAACTTCATGAGCTTTGTTTATAATCTTCTTGATGGATGGAAATGCTTTAAAGGGGTCATATGATGCGATTTCAAGTTTTCCTTTCTCTTTGGAGTGTTACAAGCTGATTGTGCATAGATAAGATCCCTGAAGTTGCAAAGACTAAAGTCTCAAAACCAAAGAGATATTCTTTATCAAAGTTAAGACTCTGCCACGCCCCCCTAAAATGTCTCGTTCTAACACGCCCCCACATATCTACCTCACTATGTGGAAATATTTGCATAATGCCGCCCAAATGTGCACGCAAAGAAAGAAGGCGTGGTTTCAGTAACCGCAGTTACTGTTGAAGCAGCCATGTCAGAGAGATGCTGTGTGTTTCTAGGCGAAAGCAAAAGCACTTTATTTGGCCTTCCGAAAGTAGATGCATTTAGAAATCTTTAAGACTTAAAGACTTGCAATGCATTTTATGGACTACTGTTTCGTGAACCTAGGAGAGGAGGTAATTCTGACTTTGCTATGACAATCTGGCGCTTCTGAATCAGCTACTGTTTTGTTATTAGTTTAAGTATTTGCTATTGACTGTTCAAATGCGGCTATAATATAATATAGCTATAGGTCAATATGTTTGACGTTCAGTTGCAGACTGCGCTTGTCGGAAGGAGGGACTTTGTAGAAAACAAAGCGTTTGAGAGAGGCGGGGCATAAAGGACCTACAATAATGTACAGTATTTGAAAAATAATGTGTTTTTTGAACATTAAAACATGTCAATTCTGTTACACCATATACACAAAATAATGATCTTTAAAAAAGCATCATATGACCCCTTTAAGTGTTAAAATCGCTTAAGTACAGCCATTAATTTACTACACATACACATTATACACTGTACCTTTCAAAGGTTTGGGATCAGTAAGGTGTTTTTTTTTTTTTTTTAGCAAGAATGCATTAAATTGATCAAAAGGGACAGAAGTTTTGTAACACTGTAAAATCCCTTACCATTTCAAATAAATGCTGTTCTTTTGAACTTTATATTCATCGAATTAAAAGATGTGTTTCCACAAAATAAATTACGCAGTAATACTGCTTTCAACATTGATAATAATAAAAATGAAGATGTTTCTTGAGCAGAAAATCAGCATAATAGAATGATTTCTGAAGGATCATATGAGACGACTGGCTGCTGAAAATTTGGCTTTGCCATTACAGGAATAAATTAAGTTTTAAAATATATTAAAATAGAAATTGTAATAATATTTCACAATATTATTGTATTTTTTAAATATAAAGGCAGCATTGATGAGCATAAGACACTTCTTTCACATTTTAAAAATCTTACTAACCGCAAACTTTTTAACTGTGGTGTATGTCTTTAATATTTTATTTCCTTTTATGTAATATTATAGTAATTTTAGATAGGAAATAGGGCACACGGATCCTAACAAAAAACATTCACAAAGCATGTGACCTCCATGTGTTCACTGATTAACATTATTGACTGATAGATGAGCGTATGAACGTCCAAACTACCTGTTTATCCCCTTATAAGCACCAAGACCACTGCACTCTATCCCAACCAACTAAACTACATTGGTCAATTTTTAATTAGTTGTTAAACGTATTTCCAGGTAATTTGTGTTTCAGATCCTCTCACTAATACTGGTTCCTTATCTTCCATCTGAAGTGGTATGTGCCCTCACACGTAAGCCTAATTCATGCCAGGAGCTTTATCCTTATACTGGAGTTCAGTGTGCAGGCTGCCCCTCTTCTAGGGAAACGCTCCCACACTTTGCTGGCCTGGTCCCATAGGCCACAGAATGCACCACATATTTGGAATAGTGAAAAGAGGAAGGGAGAGAAAATAGGTCTGTTGTAGGGTGGGGTGCAAAGAGTCTCCCTTCCTCTAACCCACATCATTTGCTTTTGACGGCTTCACTCTAAGGCATTGTGTTAAAGACCTCTAATTGTGTTAATTGCACACATGTGAGCAGTTACGAAAGTTTTAACCCTATCTTAGGGTGAATGCCAGACCCTCAGGGCTTGGCAAAGGCAAACTCATAGCTAAATC